AACAAAGTAGTAACTGCACGCATTGATTTTAAAAATCAAATAAAATGATAAAATACTAGAATATTTTTACTATTGTACTGTCAAATAAGGGCAAGTCATTGGGTCTAGATGGGTCATGAAGTAGTTTAAAAATATTAGTAAAATTACAAACCATCAAATGAAAATTGAAACAAAACCCACCATTTTAAAAAAAGTTTACTTCGAAATATTTTCCCTGTGTAAATTTATTTAAAAACGAATCTATAAATATAATTCATCAACTCAAAATTGATTTGATATAAAACTGACTAACTGTAATTGAAGTTAATGACAAAACTTTGATTGACATCTTTGGATTCAGATTGTCACCCATGATAATATGAATACCCTTAACATGGAGGGAAAAAAAACTGCTGTAGAATCAAGGTGAAATAAGTGACTATTGGGTTGTCATACCAAGTCTTAAGCATACTTCTGTTGTAATTGTATGTAATCTTTTAAAGAAAATATCTAATGTGTTCATTTCAATAGTTTGGAGCATGAATAAGCACATAACACAAGGAAATGTATATTCATTCACCTGAAAATAGATATTTAGGTGAAGAGAGAAATTTTGTTTAAATGTACATAAAAAGTGGAAATGTTTTAACTCTTTGGGCTATTATTACAGTGGTGTATTTTACAACACTCCATTGGCTTAAATACTAAACTCTTGACTGCTCATGTTTTTCAGAAAGAAACAATATGATATACACTTTTAAAGAGCAGTGGCTGAAATCTGTCTGGTTCACTGGGAGTTCATTGGGATATATTTGCAATTTGTGAAGCAAAAAACTGATATTTTATCTTTAGAAGGAGTTACATTTTTTGAGCTTATTGAATTTTTCAAAGATCAGCATGAAGAGTTCTGATTAAATGCTTGCTTCAGCATTTTAAAGGCTTCTTGTGTCCCTGTTGCCTAAGGAGGTCATACATTACGATTGCTCTGTAAACATCAGATTGTACAGAATTGGCTGTGCATACCATGCAGAGCGCACAAAGAAAGTCAAATGGCTTATCTTGCACTTATCAACTAGTTTATTTTTCATGCCAAAAAACCTGTATTTTTACAAGAGCAGCTGCTACTTTGTAAATATTTTAATGGCTTCTGTTAAGTAGAGCTGTCAATTTTGCAAACAATATTAAAAGCAGATTTCATTTTACCATGTGATTGCATGTTTTGAAATGCATTTTATCCCTGAAAGTCCTGTGGAGGAGACTTGAGAATGGAAATGGTTTCTGATTTGCAGGCACAGAGCCAATAGAGAATAGGTGTAGTTAAGTAAGTATGCATCATCACTCTATGCGTGTTCATGTTTCCTCCTGATTTACCTGCCCCAAAATATTTTCAAGTTGTTCCTCTTTCTTTCATTGTAGTTATAGTGGGAAAAATCATGAGCACCTTTAGTAAGTTTTTTGAGGAGCCCTTAGGTTCAGGTTTTATTTCAGTAATGCCCCCTCCAACCTAAAAATATCAATGATACAGAAATCAGCTTCTCCACCATCCAGTAACATCATAGCTACAAGTTACTATTGAAATGGACTCTTCGGTATTTTCTAATGAATTTGGTCATCACTAAAAAGTGCCAGAATGTCACCACAGCAAAGAGAGAACATACAAAAATTTCCTTGCTGTTCTGCTGGTTTTCCCCAAGCTTGCTCTGAAAGGGCCACCCTTACAAGGAAGAGGAATTACTCATACCCAGTCCATCCTTGACTCTGTTTTATACACTAGCAGTGGTGTTACTTAATGCAACTTGAGATGCTGGCTCTGTGCTTATTACAGTACCATGGCTACTCATCGACTTCATGCTTGACAGAATTACAACTCTATGGGTGCATCTATACGTGCATTTAAGCATGGCTAAATGTAATGTGCATTAAGTGATTTTTGGCAGGTGTCTACACATGCAGGGACCTGGGACTAGTTAGTCCTAAATCCCTGCAACCCTGCCATGTGATCCTATGGCCACTGGGGGGAGCTCCAGCCTCTGGCCACGTGGCTGCCAGAGCCAGCACTTGGCAGCCATCTTGGAAACTTTGATCCCTGGCCAGCCCCTTCTCTGCTCAGGAGCCACATGCCCTGAGCAGGGGCACCACACAGCAAATCCCTCCTTGCCCACCCTGCCTCCCTGCACTAGAGCTGCTCCTGCCCCTGCCAGTAATGCCCAGAGCTCTGCTGCTCCAGCCCAGCCCCTGTCAGTGATGACCAGCCCCCCCATACTCCTGCTGGTCATGATGCTGGCCCTGCTGGCCCCAGGATAGCTATGCACCCACCAGTGGGGACCGGGGCACTGGCTGTGGGAGGCTCTGCCCAACCCCCTCCTCCTGCATTCCCTACTCCAGCCCACCTGCCCTGTTGCCCACATACCCCCTATCCCCCACCCACCCCCAGAACCACTGCCAGGACACACACATAGGTGAAACAGAAAACATTACCCTTAAGACACCCACCCCCATCCTTCCCCCCTCAAACAGAACCCCCTCCTCCCTTCACCTTCAACCAACAGAGTCCTTCCACCACCTCCCCATAATAAAAACCTGCTTACAAGGGGAAAACTATATGCAAGGGGGAAACTATGTCAAAATGTTGGATTTTCAAGCCCAGATTGGGGGGGCTGTGGGAGGGGCCTAGGGGGCAGGTGTCCAGCACCCCAACCCTTGGATGTTCCCTGAGGTTGGACTCAGGCCAACCCCCTAGTGGCAGGACACACTCGTCACTAAAGTTAGTGCTGGGTCACATCTACACATGCATTAATGTGCGTTAACTAATTGCACCTAAAGTTAATACCTAAATTTGATATGTGATTAGCCTAAGTTAATGCACATTAAAGGTGCACACATGTAGACACACACCTGTAATGCACATTAATGTAGGATAGTGCACATTAAAGCATTTCATGTAGACACACCCTATTTGACAGTACACATTTAATAAGCATCAGATGCTAATAATGCCTCAGAGCATAGGTCCTGTGTTGGACTCCCATTGTTGACCTAGATGTGAAAATAGCAGCAATCTATTCACATTCCCATGGATAAGTCATCTCCGAGGCACTCTGAGGGTTAAACTAGAAGTGATGTAGTTGTTAAAATCTGGTAGACATTATAGTCAGGCTCCCAGAGCCCTAGATGCACCCATTCAGTGATGCATAACATCTTATGACGCACAGGCTGTCTACACAATAAAAATACCTAATTTGGCAGACTGGGTTACAACACAGTTGTCTCCAGCCCAGTTAGAGTGCAATTACAATTCATAATATGAATATGACTTAGGTTGTAAACAGATCACATTCATAGACTTGTCTTTTTCATAATGATACTTTCTAGTTATAGCAGAGTTAACCCCCATCTGTAATATAAGTCTTCACTGTGTTGAAACAATTTGAAAGGTGAAATGTGATTTAATCAGGTCCAGGCCTCTGTACTCTGAGAAGCCAAAAGAAAATGCATGTCAAATAAAGAGGTGGTGAACTTTAACTTATACCTTCCTACAGCCTTCTGTCGATATCTTTCTTACATATACTCCTTTTTTCTGGTTTCTCTGAAACCCCCTTATAATATGGCTACATAAAGACATTCAGTTTCTACTGAAAGAGCGAGTGCTCTCTACATAGAAATCATGAGAGTACAGATATTCAGGATTTTTCTCCCAGAGCAAAAAATGGCCTCTGTCAGAGAAAAATAACCAGGGAACAACCAGTATTAAATTGCTTCTGAGAGAATTTCTCTTGGATGGGTGACTATCTGTACACTTTGCCTTCTGAGAGAAGCTGCACCACAGTCCTCCAGCATACCAGGGTGCTTTCATGTTTAAGTTGAGGAACCAGTGCAGAAGCTTCAAGGTATGTGGCCTCTTACTGGTTCCTTGTCTGCATGGGTGCCTGCAGACGTGCAGGGACCCTGCTCCAATGTGCTGTAATTACAGTGTGTAGGAGCAGACTTTATTAATCAAGTGTGCTGGAGCATGCTAAATTAGCACACTCCAGCAGCCTCCCCGTCTCATGTATTCAGCATCCCCACACTTCTAAATGGTGGCGGGGCCATTTAACTAAAGCTCATTGAACAAGCTTTAGTTAAAGCACCGCTGCTGCCATTTTGAAGCACAGAACGCCAAATACACAAGACGCTGCAGGGACTTTAGTTAGAGTGGCTCTCAGAGCTAATCTAATTAAAACTCCCACTGCCCCCACCCACACAGCACATGTAAAGATGTCCCATGATTCCATGTGTGTGGATTAATGAAGGTAGAGAGGCAGAAAACTCTAGTTAATGGGACAGTAAGCATATCTGCCCTCCTAAGCTACTGAGAACTTCTGGGTCTCTGACTAACATGTAAAATTAGAAGTATGGTAAAGCTTGTGGTAGCGTAATACTCTATCCACTGACCAGGAATTTACCGTAGTATTGTACAGATTAGGTAATACTGGGTACAGAGAGACAGAGAACAAGGAGAAAACAGGATTTAAAGAAAAAAAAAAAAATCAAGAAGGTCTTATGATTTTGCGAATAACCTTTTAAAGTTTTTATCTGTAACAGGATTTTTACTTAATCCATGCTCTGTTGGCCTAGGTTTGGATTACAGATTTGTTGTTGTTGTTAAGTAACACACCTCCAACATGCAATTTTTCTATATCCTTAGATGATTTGTGTATGGTTAAAAATCTCTCTCTCTCAAAAGTCAGATTAGCTCAAATTCAAGTTTTCACTATGCCAACATATCTTGCCTGTAAACTGAAATAACTTGAAACAGGTGTGAAACAAAGGTAGAAGGTGTGAAGTAATTCCAATTGCGTAGTGTGAAAGGAAATAGAAGATAATTAGTTGTTGTCTTTTGGTTGGAAGTGATTTTTTTTCTCCATGTCCCTCTCAATGCTACAGTTGGTGCAATAGAAGATATAAAATACAAAAGAAAATAAGCAGGTATTCTTGTGGACAGTTAATTCAGTCTAATCTCATAACCTGATTATTTTTAACAGAACGTTTGGGACATTTTGACAGAGCGGATACTCCAAATGAAGCTTTTGTTGACCCATCTTTAACACCTCAAGAGGAACATAACTTCCCTGCTTCTGACTCAAACTTCAACCATACAACACAGAGCAGTTCTTCTAACAGGTGAGATTTGCTGAATGAATCTTGTAGAAGCAGCAGCATTTTAACTGTCCTCACTTAATTGCAATAATTTCTTATGAAGTCAAGGGGGGGGGAAATCACCCATTTCCACAACACTGAGGAGGATGAGGAGATAGAAACAGGCAAATGTCTGAAGCATAGGTATATAATGCATGTCTTCTTACAGTCTGAGATCCTGGTGATTTTAGATTATTTTGATGGCCTTTTCCTAGGTGTTATCCCCAAAAAAGATGTTGCATTGCTTAGTGGCATAAACTTTGTTCAAGAATTTAAAGTATTCAGGATGAATGGTAAGAAAACATGGCCAACTTTTATTAAACGTAATTGCCTTGTTAGGCTCCTAAATCTAGATCACAACTATCAAAGAGCTGGAGGTTTGGAGGAGCCGAGTCTTGGCTATTTGTACTTAATTATTTCAACATCTCTGAAAATTAGACCTCTTATTTAGGTCTTCAGGCCTCAGTTTTGTGAAGACTAACATGCAAAGACTTTATGTATAGGGATGAGTCCCGCTGAAGGGATGAGACAACTTGTAGCCTTTATCCAGAAAAGCACTTCAATTTATGGTCAAGTCCTTTTGACTTACGTTTGCCATAAGCATGTGTTTAAGGCAGGGGTGTCAAACATACAGGCCGTGGGCTGGATTCAGCCCCCACAGCTGCGTCATACGGCCCATAGCCTTGATTGGGGACCAGTGGCAACCAAGCACCTGGTCAAGACCCATGGTACAGGAGCCCAAGCAGCACAGTGGCTTGTTTCCATGATGGCAGCCAAACAGGCACCCATCATGCCAGGATGCTTCCTGTGGTACTGCTGGGACTCCAGTGCTGCTGCCCTTCCCAGGTGCTTGGCAGCCAAGCTGGGGAAATCTACAGCACTGGAGCCCCAGCAGCACCACAGAAAGAAGCCTGGCACCCTATGTATGACCCAGCCCTTGGGGCTGTTCCCAAGCCATTCATTCAACTCATGGACTGGTCACTCGCTGCTCATCTAGCCCACCAAACCAGATGAGTTTGACACCCCTGGCTTAAAGCTTTACTGACCCAGGAATGTTTTCTTGAATGGGAATACAAAATAAAAATTGAGTTACAAACATACACAAATCTTTAAGGGATATGAAGTAAAATACAGATTTCACAGCCTAATATCAGGTGCCCATGTTCATATTTTAAATAAATAGCAAGAACATTGTTAGAACAGGAGATATCAAAAGTTTAAACAAGGCTAGAGATGGACGGAGGTCACAGAGGAGTGTTGTGTTTTGGGAATACTGAATATTAATAACAAAATTAAATTTTAATTATTTTTTTCCCAAAAATGCAACGTATTTTGACTGACGTGCAGAAAAGACAGAAGCACAACGACAAAGATGTCCAGACCAAAAGATAAGGTGTGAAAGACAGGACTCCTGATAAGTGTACATGACTTCAGTAGAAGGTCTTCCAACCCACCACTAGCCACTGGTCTGATTCTCTGAACATAAGCCACTGATCTGTCAATCCACAGAATCACTCTTAAAGGGCTCTTATTTATATTATAGCAAAAGATGGTTGTTATGCAGGGGATGCTAAACTCAATGGAGAGACAGTGTGGACTAATGCTTAAATAGAGTGAAATTGCAACGTACCTGTTATAAAAGAAAATACACTAGGTCTGGTGCCCAGCATCTCAAAGAACATGTGTACGTATGCTTTGGATATCAGCTGCTGACCAAGGGATGAAACCTTTTCTAGTTATGGAAATTTTCAGCAGCAGTATTTGGAAATCAGTGAAAATGAAAATTATAAGATCCCCAGCATGAACAAGATGGTCACCTAAGGCAACTTGTAGACCTTAATTTAATGGCACAATGGGATATGATCCCTGATCCCAACAATTGTGCATTCTGCTGTACCATATATATATGGCAGGACACAAGATTTTTGGGATCAGGAATAAAAAGTGTCAGATCCCATCAGCTTTATGGTTGTTTTTTCCCATTTTATGAGACAATAATTTGGTTGAATGTGTGGCTGTAACAGAGACCCATCCAGAGGTGGCTGTGATACTCCTGGAGCCCTCTCAGCCCTTATCAATCTGGCTTTCTTTGGGCAATATCCCCTTCTCCTCACCTGCCGCACCTTGATGAAATGATACTTTCCAAAAAGGGATGCTGTCCCCAGGCTCCCCGAGCAAGATTTCACTCCTGTGCACCAATGTCGCTGCTCATAACGTTAAGGGCTAATTATGTGGCCTCCAGCCTCCCTAGTATCCACACCCTTGCCTTGTAGATGTCACACACACTAATCAGATCCTAACCTCCCCTACAGGCTACAAGCTTCTGGCCCTGTTCCTCCTTACACCAGACCCTCTCTGGGCTATGGGTACTCTAGCCACCTCAGTCTCCAGCTCTGGCCCTTCTGCCCTTCAGTCCTTTTCCTTAGATTCTGGCCCTGTTCCTAGGCCAGTTGAGATCCATGGGCTCTCCAGCCCTACCTGTCTCCAGCTGCAGCCAGTCTTGGCCTTTGGCCCTTTCTGAGCCCTGGGCCCATTCTTAAGCCAGTGACACCTATAGCCACCCTGTAACTACTTGTTCCCTGGGCCCTCCAGCCCTCCACTGTTTCTGAGCCCTCTAGCCCCTGCTCTCTCTCTCTCTAAGCCAGCTGGGACCTCCTTACCTCCCCGTAGTTACTTCCACAAACCACGAGTGTTGCTTACCCCAGCTCAGATGTTAACCAGAAGCCCTGCTGCCCAGAAACTCCTTTCTTTGTGGCCCTCAGGGCTAGACTCCCTGACCAACTCAGGCGTGGGCTTATATTCTTCAAGCCAGGCCCCCTTCTGGTCAGGTGACTCTCTGATTGGCCCCTGCCACAGCTGTTCTGACACAGCCTGCCTTCTCTTAAAGTAGCAGGAGCACCAAGCCTCCTGCTACAGTGGCATGTTACTGCATTTATTGCATGATTAACATGTTAATCACACTATAATTTAACATTTGCCAGGAGCCTAAGTAACTTAATATGGTCCTTTTCCTTGTCATTCCTTTTCTACTACCTCTTCCTAAGTTAAATTTACCTAACCTTAGAAGTCCTTTGCTGGAGTGCATGGAAGTGGGTGTGGTGGTACAGTCACACCCTTCTTCTGCCACACCTGGCCCTGACTGACCCAGGCTCAGGGGAGGTTCCAGAGCTATTCTTGCCTTACTACAGCCAGCAGCTGCTGCTGTGTGGGGTGGTGGGCTTGACAGGGGACAGTGGCAACATTGAGCAGGTTTCCTCTTCCTGCCCCTGCTCCATGCTGCTCTCCCACTGTCATCCCTGCTGGCAAGGAGCAGGCACTAAAAGGAGGAACCCATCCTCTCCACCTCCCATCACCCTTGTTCTCAACTGATCCAAGCCCAGGGGAAAGCACCAGAGCTACTTCTGCCCCACTCCAGCTGGGCTGTGCAGGGAGCTGGGCTCCACTGGGAACAGAAGCAGCAGCGCACAGGTTCCTCCTTCCAGCACCTGCTCTTGGCCAGAGGGGGACACCGCGGTAGGGGGGCCAAGTGGAAGGAGGAACCTGACACTGCTGTCACTGTCCCTCAATGAGCAACTGCTCCCTGCAGCCTGTGACTGGAGCAGGGCAGGAGCAACTGGGGGCTCCCCCCACACCAGGGTCAGCAGTGTCAATGGCAGCACCACCACTGGGAAGATTCCTCCCTCTTTGTGTACTTGCTCATTGCAGTGTTACCTGCCACTGTAAAGACTCCAGTCATGCCTCACCCCCACCCTGCTGTGGTCTGAGACATGTTGTGCCACATCCCCTTGTAGTAAATTCCAGATCTGCCCATGGTCCTTTGGCCCTTTATCTATATTGCACAGGACTGCACTTGCATTTCCACTGCATCTGTTGAACTTCCAAATGTATAAATAATAATTAGGACAGCAGAGATTCAGTGATGCTAAATGACAGATTAACAAACAAGAACAAAAGCATACACAGCAGTAAGAAACAAAACAGGTCAACTGTTCTGTAGTGGAAAAGTCATTATTTTCTCCAGTGCTTTCTGGTAAGGAATCACTTCTTGCTTCCAGTTAGTTTGCAGACTTCTTTTTTTGGAGGGAGGGGAGGCAGGAGGGCTGCTTTGTGTTAGAATATTATTAGGGCAGGAATCATATATTTTATTAAACATTAGAATATTACGCAAAGAAGTGCTATTTCTTTTACTCATACAAGCAGAGTGGGCTTTTGTTATATTATTCCCATGCATTAACTGTGCTATTAAGCGGATTGTATCAAGAACAAAATGAGTGTTTCACACCTATTTTTTAAAACAGAAAATTATATCTGAGATCTTCAAAGCAATGTTAAGGATGTGGATACAGACTGTGCTTCTAAACTATACTGAACAGTGGCATAACTAGAGGGAGGTGTTAGTAGCAACTGTCTTGGGGACCAGCTTTGGGGAATGGAGGGGAGCAGCTGCAGCTGGTAGCCACATGTTAACATTCATCATCATGGTAGCAACCAGAAATCGCTGCTTCCACTTTGCCCCAGGCACCCAGCCACATCTCTGCACTGCTGATACTGAGAGTTTGTTGCCTGGTAATATTTTGGATGTGTATGCTGCTGCATTGATATATTAAAAAAATTTTAAACATAATAAAAGCACAAGTGGCCATGCTTAATATGATGTTTGTAATATAGAGATTTCCTTTAAATAAGTATTCTAATAAATGGTGTTCTTTTAACAAAAGTAAAGTACAGTGACTAGGTCCCCATGTGCATCTGATCCAAAAGCGTAAGTGGGCTACCTTTTCTTCTGAAGTTTAATATACCTCACAATCATATCATAGTCCTGCATCTACCTCAGTCAGTTTTCCTGTGACAGCCAATATAGAATTTAGCTTTACTTCTGTTTCTTGGCTTTCTGGCTAACCCAGGTGGGTCATCAAAAGTTGCTGATCCTCATTCATAGTTCTTGGCGGTCACTGAAACTGCATAAACTGCCCTGCTTTCCTGAG